ATACAAGTACATAACAATAATCGACAAACAGATACACAAGTACATAACAATAATCGACAAACAGATATACAAGTGCATAACAATAATCAACAAATAGATATACAAGTGCATAACAATAATCGACAAACAGATATACAAGTACATAACAATAATCGACAAACAGATATACAAGTACATAACAATAATCGACAAACAGATATACATGTACATAACAATAATCGACAAACAGATACACAAGTACATAACAATAATCGACAAACAGCTATACAAGTACATAACAATAATCGACAAACAGATATACATGTACATAACAATAATCGACAAACAGATATACAAGTGCATAACAATAATCGACAAACAGATATACAAGTGCATAACAATAATCGACAAACAGATATACAAGTACATAACAATAATCGACAAACAGATATACAAGTGCATAACAATAATCGACAAACAGATATACAAGTGCATAACAATAATCGACAAACAGATATACAAGTACATAACAATAATCGACAAACAGATATACAAGTGCATAACAATAATCGACAAACAGATATACAAGTGCATAACAATAATCGACAAACAGATATACAAGTGCATAACAATAATCGACAAACAGATATACAAGTACATAACAATAATCGACAAACAGATATACAAGTGCATAACAATAATCGACAAACAGATATACAAGTGCATAACAATAATCGACAAACAGATATACAAGTACATAACAATAATCGACAAACAGATATACAAGTGCATAACAATAATCGACAAACAGATTTACAAGTGCATAACAATAATCGACAAACAGATACACAAGAACAGATGCTAATAATTGACAATGAGAAAATTGACAAAGAGAAATACAAGAACAGATAATAATATTTTAAAAAATATTTTTAAAAATAACGACATAGAACAACAGATACGATTAACCGAAAAAAAATATACAAGAACAGGTGTCAATTATCGACAAACAGAAATACAAGAGCAACAGTTACCAAAAATCGACAAGCATACATACAACAGATAGCAAAAACCGACAGATGCGCAAAAACAGATGCCAATAACCGGCAGATTTAATACAAGAAAAGATACCAATAATCGACAAACAGATATACAAGAACAGATAACAATAATTGTCAAACAGATATACAAGAAAAGATACCAATAATCGACAAACAGATATACAAGAACAGATAACAATAATTGTCAAACAGATATACAAGAAAAGATACCAATAATCGACAAACAGATATACAAGAACAGATAACAATAATTGTCAAGCAGATATACAAGAACAGATAACAATAATTGTCAAACAGATATACGAGAACAGATAACAAACATATTCACAAGAACACATAACAATAATTGTCAAACAGATACACAAGAATAGATAATAATAATCGACAAACAGCCATGCAACAAAATGTGTCAATAATCGACAGAAACAATTTCGAAGATAATCTTACCTAAACTGCTGGCTTTGTGGCTTGCCGGACGTCTGTACACATAGTCTGTACACATGGTCTGTACACATCGTCGGCACACATCATCTGTACACATGGTCTGTACACATGGTCTGTACACATGGTCTGTACACATCGTCGGCACACATCATCGGTACACATGGTCTGTACACATGGACTGTACACATTGTGTGTACAAACGTCAGTACACATTGTCTGTACACGTGGTGTACACATGTGGTGTGTACATGTGGTGTGTACACATGATTGGTACACATGGTCTGTACGCATGACGGTCCTGACATCCCGGACACGTCGTTCTCTTCAGCCTCACAAGTCACCCGTCACCCAGAACCTGTGTCCTAGCGGTGACTAAACACAAGTATGGACACTCAGACCCACCCACAGACCCAGGCTCAGGTACCAAGCACAGATCAGACCCACACACTGACCCAGGCTCAGGTACCAAGCACAGATCAGACCCACCCACGGACCCAGGCTAAGGTACCAAGCACAGATCAGACCCACCCACGGACCCAGTCTCAGGTGCCCAGCACAAGTATGGAAATGTCCCACTGTGTCCTGTGTATAATGTCAAGAGGCAAGAATGTCCCCTGCCTTCCTGTTGCTCGTTTACTCTGATGTCCTGTCACAAGACGTGAGCGACAGATGACTGGTTGGAGACAAAGCTGAACAAACATTCACAAGTCACCAGAAACTGTGATGACTGGCCTCTGTAGTCTGCTTGCCATTTTTTCCGACAGCCGTGTCTTCCAGCACGACACGTCTGTACCGGCTGTGATTTCTGTGCCGGACCTCAAGTTGTGCTGCCTCGCAAGCATGTCGCACAGTGCTTCAATGTGCGTCGTTGTGACACATGATGCGGCATTGATTTGCGATGTTGTTACTGCTGTTGTCACTCTGATGTTGCTGACGTGGAGGTACTCAGTTTTGCTTTTGTTAACTGATAATGTTGTCCCAGCATTGTCGCCTGTGGTGGGCCTGATTGAGAGGTT